TCTTCCCGTGGTCTTCCCCGTCTCCATAAGGGCGGTGGCCTTCTGGGGCACTGGTGGCCTCCAATGAACCCCAGCTCCTGCAGAGCACACTTGTTTTAATCAATACAGAGCAAGTGACACTGTACCACTCCGGAGCCTAAGTTTTAAAAACGCTTCTCCGCTTCACTCTTGTCCTCATGGGAACTTGCAGACACCCTGCAAGATGCCTGGCTCCCCAGCTGGACAGACCATGTGGGAAGGATACACGAATAGAGATCCTAAGACTTCATAGAGAGAGGGAGGGGACCAGCTGTCTCAGCCACATCCAGCCCCCCACCGACCCACCAGCAGACCAGAGACCCGCGAGTGACCATGGACAAGACCAACAGCACGACCGCCCAGCCAAGCCCTGTCCAGACTGCACAGCTGAGAACAAACAAAATGGCTATTCGAAGCCACGACATTTGAGGTGGTTAATTCCTCAGCGATAGGTCACAGAAACAAATGTGGCTGAATCTAGTGTTTAGTCTTCCAGTGGCTCAGGTCAGAATCCCAGAGTCACTCCTTACCCATCTTTCCCTTACACTCCACATCCAATCCATACGCAATCAGGACACCCGTATCCTGTGGGGACATCCGAACTCTGTCACTGTCACTCTGCCATCATTTCTCACCTCCTCCCTGCGTCTACCTTTCCCCCCGTTGCCTGCAGCCCACTCACCCGCACCCCAGTTTACCTTCCACGAGAGGCAAAATAATCCTTTACAAGAAGGGCCACTGTGCTTTTTGCTCAAAACTCTCCAGTGGCCGCCATGTCACTCAGAGTAATATACCAAGTCCTTACGGTGTCCTAGGAGTACGCCCCCACTTCTGTCCTGCCAACTCCATTTCCTGCCAACCCACCCAGTTCATTCTTGAGTCATCCCTGCTCACCCTCAAAACACCAAACAAGGGCCCTCGGACGCCTCCACTGCACAGTCACCTGGCTGAACCCCTCATCTGAACCTTGTCTCTGGTCCAACGGTGGCCGGGAGCACCCACCCTGAGCAGCACCTCGAAGAGGGCCTGTCCCCCTCCCCTGAACTTCACCTTTCACCCTCCCGCCAGGCTCTGCTTCTTTGCACTGTTCTCAGCTCTGGACTCTCCTCTCTCGTGTACTGTCTGCCTCCTTCCGTCATCCCACGAGCTCTGGGAGGGTGTGGATGCTGGAGGTTTTGTTCACTGGTGCACTCCCAGTGTCTATGGAGCGTGCAGCTCCATAAGTATGTGAACGTATGCATTACTCGTGGTCATCTTTTATATCCCTGGAGAGCAGGTTAAGAAGGTCACAGATCTCCTGGCTCCACCCGGCATTCTGTGGCCCCGCTCCCTGGAGGCCAGGCGGAGCACAGCACCTCCTCTTCGTGGTTCTCACCTACATCAAACCCTCCAAAGCTTTCTTGTTGCCCTCAGGATCAGGTTCGCCCTCCTTCACGTGACCCACAAGGGTCCACAGGATCTGACACTGCTACCCACTCCAGGTCCGGCTCAAGCGTGCCACTCGTCAGCACACGTGGGACTCCAGTCACACTGCCTTGTGCTCTCCAGCTTTGCCCATGCTGTTCCTTCTGCCAGGAATGCCTTCTCGCTCCTTCCACTACTGCCCATCATCCTTCGGCCTCAACCTAAATGGCCCCTCCTCAAAGAGGCCTTCTGTGGCCCACCATCTTTCTGTGGTTCCTTCTTTGTCTCTCCTTTTCCTTTCTAGGCTACCCACAATTTGTGGAAATGGAGCAGGTCATCCAGCGGAGGTATTCACCAGCAACTTGGGGTTGTGGAAGCATAGCTGAGGGAGGAGGGCAGCCAGGGGTGCTTTTAGTGGGAGGACCAGCTGCATATTTTGTGGGGGCAAAGTGAAAAATGAAAATGAAAATCCCCTTATTCAAAGTTATTAAGAATTTCAAGAGAGGACGCCTGGGTGGCTTGGTCAGTTAAGCGTCTGCCTTCGGCTTGGGTCATGATCCCAGGGTCCTACAATCGAGCCCTGTGTTGGGCTCCCTGCTCAGCAGGGAGTCTGCTTCTTCCTCTGCCCCTCTCCCTCCCCAGGTCGTGCTCACGCTCTCTCTCAGGTAAACAAATGAGTTAAAAAAAAAAAAAAAGAATTTCAAGAGAGCAACAGTAGAACATTCTATCCAGCATGGGAGCCTCTGAACATGGGGGGCTGTGTGACTCCACTAGTCACACGCCCATGAAACTGGCCCTGTCTGGTGACCACAGTTAATCAACTCAGGCAAAATGTTGCATTGGACGCCCAGCCATGCTGGTGACTTGTGGATGTGTCAATACTGGCCACCTCCTCAAAGATGGGGCGGTAGACTTGTTTCATGGAGAGTGACCAGAGCTCCATTCTTCAGTCAAAGAATACCCAGGGTGCCTGCTCATCAGATGTTGTAATTGGGCTAAGTTCATACACTGACAATCTGGCACAAGCTTAACACCATGATATGGGCAAACGCCAAGAAGAGAAAAGGAGACAGTAAGCAAAGAGACTTTCATCAACCTTTCTATGATGCAACAGAAGGTTTACCTCTTCCTCTCACAAGCATTTCAGCTCATTAACTCTTCCCTTGGTTTTCGAATAATAGCTTCTTCCCAGTAAATAAGTTAATGAACTACAGACTAGAAAAGCTTTCCTTTCAAAGAGCCAACTGAGTATTGGATAAACGTAACAGTTGCTCTTTTAGGAATAGACCGTGGTTCCCAAAATGCAAAGCAATTATATCCCAACAAAATAATAACAGGAGATGCACGGTTCCTAGGATTTATTTTAAAACAAGAGAGCCATAATGTGAGGTCTCCAAGACATTCAACCTGCGTAATAGAGCCCTCTCAGTATTTTATTGTGTTCCTCCACACCTGACCTGGACAATTTCAGTGCCTCTGACATTCTCTCTCCTATGTCATTCATGATTCTACATCAATGTTTCACAAATATTTTTTAATACGATCCGCAACGAGAGTATGTTTTACATTGTGACCCAGTACACATGCATCAACAGAACTGAAATAAAAATTTTATCAGCAGTACACACTGAGATTTTCCATTGGGTTTTACTTCATTTTTTAGAAATAATCATCTGACCCACACATTGGTTTTACAACCTACTAAATGGGTCATGACCCACAGTTTGGAAATGTGGTTTTAGATCATACTAGCATATATTATTACCCACATTCCTTCCACCGGATCTTAACTCAAGCTCTATCTGAAGTGTCCACGAATCCACAAGAATAAAAAATAAGTGGCTTTTAAAAAGGCAAGCATTTAGGGGCGCCTGGGTGGCTCAGTCGGTTAAACATCCGACTCTTGATTTTAGCTCAGGTCATGATCTCAGGGTCGTGGGATTGAGCCCTGCATCAGGCTCCACACTCAGTGGGAAGTGTACTTGAGACTCTTACCTCTACCTCTGCCTCTCCCCTCCCCTGCTCTCTCTCTCGCTCTCTAAAATAAATAAATAAATCTTTAAAATAAACATATAAATAAAAAGGCAAGCGCTTAAATGATTCCTCTAGCAAAAAGGACAGGACCATTCTAGAGCTAGAAGGCTGAAATGAAGGGAATTAGGCAAGGTAACACAAAGCGGGTCTTCAGGGTGTGGTGAACAGATCCAAGCAGAGGGCAGAGAGTGGTGAAGGCAGGAAACCTTCTGAGGTCAGGCCTCCCCAGCATGGGGCCACCATTTTCTTTAAAGTGCCACAGTCTCCCAGAATATCAGACACGCTCACATTCAAACACAGAAAACATTCTGCGGAAAAGGCTTTTCTGTCTTCTTTGAGGCTCCCAACTCCTCAGTCCCCCGTAAGAGGTCAGTCACCATCTTGTCATCTTCCTCTTCAAAGAATCTCTCACACCTGCCCCTTCCCGCCAGGTTCTCTGGCCTCTGGCACAGTCTGAGGTGAACCCGTGGTCTCCAGACCTGTCACAGCAGCCATACAACCCAACCACCCTCAAGGCGGCTTCCACAGGGGGTGCCTTCAGTGGCGTGGACCATCTCAAGCATGTCCACATTTTTCTGGCTGGCCTTCAGGTTCTAGAACCCTCCCCATGGGGTCTCTCCCGACTCGTCGTCCCTCTACCACACCACACAGTCTCATCACACAGGAAGCGTTTGGTAAGGTTAAGAGTGATGTCGCACCTATTACGAGTCCAGCACGGGGCTGGGGCCCTGCTTGCTCCCTTTAATCTCACCACACCCTTCCAGGGAGGCATCAGGATTCAGTATCTGGCTAGAAATGTAACCAGGTGGGCACCGTCCCCCAATGCCACCATACAACCCTTCAGCTACGTACAGAATTGCTTTCTCTGCTTGCCTCCAGAATGAAGCCACCGCTCAGGGTGAGGGAGGATCTCTACGGGCCCAACAACTCACCTCCAGTAGTCAGGACACCGGGTTCTCTTGATGCTGGCCCCCAGGAAGAGTCAGCTGCACTTCCACCAAAGAGCAGGTCTGTTCCCTTGCAGGTGGGTAATGGGATCTGAGTTCCCAACAAGGCTGCCCTTTGGGGACTAGCTGTTAAAGCTAATACCAACTGGCAGCAGGTTGTGGCCAGGCACACAGTGGCATCACTCCCGGGGCCGCCATTTTCCTTCCTCCCGTTTTTCTCTCTGGGAGAGAAATGCCAATATGCCTCATCTGTCTCTACATCTTCAATCTTCTCTAGAACACAGCAGGAAACAAAGAAATCTTATCTTGAATTTTCCCTATCATCTCCTGTGCTTCTTCTGATGCTAGACTAGCAGCTTCTCTAGAAGGTCAAATGTGACGCTTATGCTCTGAGAGGGGCATTTACGTAAAAACATCCTTTCAAATTATCCCTTGGAATATCCATGCTCGGGTGCCATTCTGGCCTTTTTCCCACTCTCCTTCCCCAGTCTCACCCCGGCGAAGAGAATGTGAGGAGAGGAGGCTTGGGGGTGGGGGGGTGAGGGGAGACAGAACCCAAGCCATTGGCTGCACACCCAGTGGGACATGCCAACCTACCTTGGTCAAATCCATTCCTAGTTTGAGCTGTGAAATGAGATGGAGAATTATACTCCGTTGATCCTCCATGACGCCCAATTCTGTCTCTTCCTTATCTTCAGTGTCACTTTTTTCATCTTCGGACAAAACCAGTTCAGGGCCTGAGTTTGGCTAAAATTAGATCATTGATAAAAATCACCAGCTGGTCCAGCAGAAGTTAGAAGCACAGCGTAGGGACCTATACACTTAGCAATGATGGAAGGGGCCCAATCCTGCCCCACAAGGAGTTTCTCTGGAAGCCAGCCCTATTAGCCACAGGGTGAAAGAGGACTCTTTCGGGGTGTAGGCCCTTTTTGGGATGCTTTAGCTATTGTGCATGCCCATTCATTTTCCTCATCATCCCCTATTAGTGAACTTTCTGGTCTAAAGACTTCCCCCAACAAAAAAAAAGTTTCCCACCCTTCAAAAAACTATATGGGTATGAGCTCCCTTATCTGGACTATTCCCATACAATATTTTCCTTTTAATTTACACAACCCGGAACACTTTATATCTAACGTAAACTTTTCTGTTAATAAGCAAAAGTCAGATACCCCCAGGACAGACTGAAATTACCTTGGTTATGAGAAGATTTACTCTGAGACTCTTTCTACTCACATCAATTAATATCACTACAGCAAGCGTAAAAAAAAGTCTCAGAGCTGGCATTAATTTAGGAAGGGAGACAAAAATAAAAATTTAAGGAAAAACACAGAAATTTTATAATGCTGAAACTCATGCTAGCCAACAGACCCTGCTTTCGTCAATGCAAGTTTATTAATTCAATTGCTTGATTCTGATTTTTTCAATTACATAGTTAACAAGCAAGTTAATGAGCAGAATGTACAAGAGGGATTATGGAGCACAGCATTTTCCAAGACCCCAGTATCAAGAACTCTGGCTATCATGTAACGTTGTCCTTGGGATTCTACTGAAAGAAGTAACCCTATTCCCCACTCCACATTTACCTGTGTTCTTATGGTACTTGTTTACAGGTAAGCCCAAGCACTCTGCAAAAACATTACACAATGGTTTCTAATTACCAATGACAGGTCAGACCAATGAACTTGATATACAGAAATGCAGGAGCTTGAGGTTATTAGTACGAAAAGGATACAGACTTGCCCATATGTCTATGCAAAAACTAATGATTTATAAACCCCATTAGGCAGAATCATCTCATTTTATCTAAAGGTACTTCCAACTTCCAACACCCCAAGGTTATTTTAGTGATTAAGGTGGTTGTGACTGATCAGCCTAATATACACGTGCTGGCCATTCCTTACCAACGCTCTGCAGAGAAAATAAGATGCTCTTCTTCCCTGGGGTAGGCATTTAAAAATTTCCATCGAGATAGACATTTTCCATGGACATACTTCTCAAATTATTCTAAATCACCTCTGAATAACCCCAATTCTGGAGAGATAGTTGGGAAGACCTCGGTGAAGCCCACAGGAGTAGGCTTCCCCCCCAGCCAAGAGTTGCGTGTTCCCCCATTGTGTGCCTCATTTCCAGCCTCATCGTAACGTGTGTTGTTTGACATCATTAGAAAATTGTGTTGCCAGGATACACTGAAATAACTGAGGACCTGAACCCCATCCTGTTCCACGGGAGACTCACCGGATGAATCTGGATTGGGGGAGTGGACTGCACTGATTCTGTGCTGGGACGCTGGAGAAGGAGGGGCTCCGAAGGCCACCCTGCCTCTCCTCCAGCTTCACCTCTTCGACACGCACCTGCCACGTATCAGTGCTGCCACCAAGGCCACTGAGCCGGAATGGCTGAAAGGCTAGGAATAGCAGGGTCATCTTCCCACCAACCTGTCCCCCCTGACGCTTCCTTCTCCCTCCTCTGGATTTCAGTGTTGAAGAGTATGGTGGTCTCATTTCACTGGGAGTTTATAGTTCCAACCAGACACCACCAAAGTAAGAAAGCTCAGACCCAGTCCCTTCCAATGGCAAAGGTGCTGCTCTTACCACTTCTTCTGTAGTGACCTGGTGGGTAGGGCTCTGTGTTAGTAGACTTCCCCTCAACGCAGGGGTGGGCAGCTGGGGGAGGAGAGGACAATGCCCCGGGCATCTTGCTTTGGGAGGAAAAAGGACAATCAAAAACAAATCAAGCTATCAGCATTCACCCACACTGGGGGAAGAGGGGATGGTGGTGTGCAAAGTCCTTGGCCGTCTCCACAGGAAAGGGAGCCGCCATCTTGAGTGCAATTATTCCTGCCTGGAATTAGTTGTTCTCACCGAGTACCAAAAGCAGACTAAACAAATCAATTGCTCAAGTGAGGCTGCCATAAGCTTTATGAAGCAGAACGACCCTTTCTTCTGAAAACATGATTTCCCATTTGTCCACACAGCAGCACACAGGGAAATCTCCATCCTCCCCACTCAACTCTCACACCTGCTGCAACATGTTTACAGGACCCCCCGGGACCACACTTCCTCCTGCTGTCTGCCTCACTTGGAAATTAAACCCAGCTCGTCCCGGACTTCGGGTAGCCAGGAAGTCTTTCTGCAAGATCCTGCCACGTGATACTAAGTACACACATCAGTGTGCACACAAACCTCCCCAGGTCTTCCTCTTCGATCCAACATTACATTTCCTCTGTGTCTGGTGATGCCTCTCAGAGACGCTGGCTCGAGCAGAGAGAATTAAAGCTGGTGCACGGACCCCAGAAGCTGACTCACTCCAAGGCGACCGGAGGCCAGAGCTCGTGGGGACCTGAAGTCCTGCCAACGGAAGAAAGGCCGGGAGGAGCCCAAGACACATCACTGACTTGGGTCCCCAGCAAACTGGCTAAGCGTAATCAAGGATCGCAGTATTTCTCTCTCCCAGAGCTTCTGAGAATGTGCCTTTCTTCTTACAGTATGATTTGCAAAAACCCCTCCTACCCAAACTCAAGTGAATAATCAGGGTTAAAAAGGGAGGGGGGCACCTGGGTGGCTCAGTCGGTTGGGCGTCTGACTTTGGCTCAGGTCATGATCTCGGGGTCCTGGGATCGAGCGAGTCCTGTGTCGTCAGGCTCCCTGCTCAGCAGGGAGTCTACTTCTCCCTCTCCTGCTGCCCCTCCCCCTGCTCATGCTCCCTCTCTCTCTCAAATATATAAAATCTTAAAAAAAGAAAAAAACAAAGGTGGTTTCATTCATCACGTTGTTAGTGAATGTCTTAGAGGACACCCCCAATTCCACCCACGCTGGAACTCAGTCTTTTGCAGAAAGGTGAGACCACCCTCCGTTGTGGGTCAAAAAGGAGGGCAAGAGGAGAGAAGACAGGAGGATTGAACTGGTCAACCCCATGAGAAAGAGGTCAACTGACAACATAAAGACAGCTCCATCAGCATCCACAAAGCACCCACTATTAACTGGCGCTGCAAGAAACTCAGAATTTGAAGAACAAGGCTTTGTTGGCCTTTTAAAGGCAGAAAAACCCATTCCCTGTTAGGGTCAAGAGTTTGTCGATTCTGCTGGTCTACTGTGAAATCCAAAACATCAATAAGGTCACGGGATCTATATTCCATAATCAGGCCCATGTGCCCCTTCCAGATCCTCACCCTCCCACTCGCAGCACTCTACTTCTCTCCTGGGGTCCCCTGCATGCCCGAAACCCTCCAATCCCTCTGGATTTCTGCTTGTAAAGCTGTGACCACTGCCTCGAGGTGCTCCAAGGTGGCAGAACAGTGTTTCTCGATCTCAGAAGAAAACGGAAAATGAGAAATGGTTTTATAAACACTGAGAAAGTTCACACGACTTACTAAGCAAGAAGAATCATCAAATTCCCCCATTCCCCAGAGATCTCTGCAAATGAGCCAGCCCAGTCATAAAAAAGGTATGCCAACTTGAAGACAAAATGGAATCAGAATATGTTTTAAAGAGAAGCAGGCCTTGGAAAAATGAGGTTTTTAATAAAAACAAAAATTAAAGTCAATATTTCTACCACATGAGCACCTCAGGGCATATGGTGCTACTAAAAATCAAGTGACTCATACCTATGAGCAAATAGGGGTAAGGACAAGTACATTTGATGGACAGGAAAAAGCTTCATGGCAGGCTGGGGCTTAGGGACACTCCTCCGTGTGTCCACAACAAGGACTTTTGCCCCAGAGCACGGGTTCTGAATCTGGGCACTATGGACACCCCCCTAAAGGTACTACCACTACCCTTCATATTTGATACAAAAATTGTGTGTCTGGGCATTTTCTGGAGAGGAGGCCCATGCTCTCTTTGGATTCTGGAAGAAGATCTGTCCCTGGGCTGACCCTGGGCCTCTCAAGGACCAAAGGGTCTGAGACCACGTAAGAGAGATGGGCTCTCAGGATGGAATGTGTTCTAGTCAGACAGTCCCAGCATCTGCAGACGTGCTCCTGCCTTTAGGCACAGACCTCTACTTCTTCCCTGGTTCAGGGCAGCACATCTGTGAGGCACCGGCCGGGGGCCAAAGCCAGAAGCAAAATCATGACTCAGGTTAGACGGTGCAAGGGAAACACTGAACTTTGCTCCCACATCTTCTTTTTAACACAAATCTTAACTCTGCAATACAAATACAAATTCCAAACAAGACGGAAATTCCAATCCATTTTATTCAATACACACATGTAACTGAACTACAGTTTGGGTCAGTTCCAGGAAAAACCATGAAAGAGACATTCATCTTCCAGGCCCATTCATTTCCCTGTCACAGGCCCCGCTCCACCCCTGCACCCGCACCTACTCCCCCTCCCCCGCTTCCTGAGATAAGTGCATGCAACCCAGCCTTCTTTCTTCACCACCGTCTCTCCTCCTTTCTTCACTGGCCCTCAGAGAGAGCTGAGGCCGACACAAGCAGTTTGATCTATTAATGTCCTCTTTATTTGTAAATGCCTAATAACTTTAGCGTCTTAACTCAAAGGGCTGAATCCTTAGATTTGAGGCATTATGAGAGAAGGCTAGGTGGCTACATGACCCAACCTTGAAAGAAGACTTTTTCCCGTTGAACAGGGAGTAAGGCCATGCTAGAGCCCTTAAATCACAGACATGCAGGTATGAGGGGTCTACTCTAGCGAAGATTAAGATGGGCACCTACTGCCATCTTTTGCCCAAATAAGTGTTCTAGAATAGGCATTCATTAAGTAGATAATCTCTTCAACAGAAAAC